CGATAAGATTCAACATAATTAGGAATTAATGAGAAGAAACCAACATAACTGGAACTTGTTTTTGTGTTGAAAAAGACTCTTGTAATTTTATTTTATTTTTGTTTAAAAGTTATTTGATCATTTTGATTGAGGTTAAAAATGGAATATATTGTCACAATATACATCGAAATTCTGAAACGATACTTTTTTTTGTAACAAAACAAAGTTGTGTCAAAATGACACTCTTTATAAAACAACACTATTATATGATTTCTATATTGAATATGTATCAGTCTATTTAACACCAACTTATGATTATGAGAATAAATATTATTTCTTTAATTCTAATTTTTCATCTCTCCAATGATAGTGTCAACTAATCCGACCTTAAAATTATTTTATGAAACTTAAATAATTTTGTAGTTCAGTCGAATGAAAATATGTTAGAGAAATTTTAATAAATCATTCATTATCGATATATAAAATTAATTACTTTTTCATATTTTCAAACTTTCATTATTTTCCAATAAGAAATTGCTAAAAATTAACAGCAGAAATTATGACTGTTTCACATCTCACAACGCTAATTTAAAAACATTGTACTGTATTGTAGATAGAAGAAAAAGGAATCATCAATATTTATGTTGCATTGGTTAAAACACGTGGAAGAATTTAGTTGAAATTTAAACTTTGCTCATTTGTTTTGGTTTACGTGTAAGTACCATTTGGTATTATTAGTCCAAACTTTGAATTGACAACAAAAACAATTACATCAGCTTTTTATATTATATCTTACCTTACATGTATACATGATAAGTTTATTTTTAATTGATTTAATGTTTAGCTGTTAAAATTTCTAAATTGTAAGAAGAAATTTCATTATGTGTTGTCACTTTAGTGATCGTTTAGTTAGCCATAGTCTCGGTTTTTAGTATTTCAAACTATGATTTTATGATTATTATGTTTGCCAACATATTATATTGAGATGTATTTGTAACATATACCGGTTCCAAATGTAGAGTTTTGGATTACAAAAGTACATGTAATCTTTTAAGTAATTTTGGTAATAAATATTTCATGTTTTTTCACATTTGTAAATGAGATTCTACTTTTTTTTTACCGTTCATACAATTATGTAAATTTTCAAGTTTTTGCAAAGTTGTTATGCGATATACTAGGTAAAATATAAATAAGCAAAACAAAATATTATTGATATACTTTAATTATTTTTCAGCGTTTTATAATTGTTCTACAAACGTGTTACCAATTTTTTTTTATTTTTCTATTTGATCATTCAAGTATTCTACTATTTAGTTGACATGCAAATTAAGCTCGACGATGGAGTACAAATTAAAAAAAAAAATTGTATATATTTCAGGTTGAGAGTAAACTCATAGAAAGTAAAGATATTACTTTCATGCAGGATCCTATAAGACATACTAGTTTTTTGTCGTGTTGAAAATTTTCTAAATCTATTTTCAAATAAATGCAACAAATATTTGTTACAATTTGTGGTGTTGGCGATGCAATTTTGAAATTTTAGTTTGATTCGTCTACAATTTTTGATGGACATTACACCTCAAAAATATTCAAATCGTGATGGAAAACATGATACTACTCATTAGTCATTACTCAAGTAAGTGAAAACTATAAATATCAATGTTAATTTATGCTGTTGGTTATGATAGGATTGTTGAACTTTAGTCGTATCGGGTTCGTTCTTTTGAGATCGGTGCTAACCGAATTGGATCGTTTTCGCTTTTTGTCTACAAAATAAAATTTATCTAGGCGATTTAAAATAATTTAAGGCTTAATTTATGTAATAACCAAAAAATATTATAATTGGCAATCTGACCAAAAATTCTAATATAAGTTTTGTCACATGGGGTGTTTTTGGTTAGATTGCCAATTATAAATTTTTTTTAAGGCTATTGATGCCAATTTTCCAAACTGTAGTCACTATATGAGATTCTGATATCGGTCTTGGCTTGTTTCGCATCATCGATAAGTCTGCTAAAGAATACCCAGAAACTGTGTATATATGAAAAACAACCCATCAAACCATCATGTGATAAAAAAAATCAAAAATTAATATTTTTTTTATTAGTTCGATTCCACAATTCCATTATGCTTTAAAAAAATAGTTTGCAAATTTATTAGTTAACTAGGTGATTTCCCGCGAAATACGTGGAAA